CACCTTAAATAAAGACTGTGTAGCTTGATTATCTGAGCATACCATGGCTTAGAAATGGTAACATGTGCAGGCCTCTTCTATTCCTCTGGCTCCTGAGCACAAGTTATTAGAGAAAGTGGGTAATTAATCCAAGCAGGGATAGTCATGCTGAATATTTCTCCTTTTTGTATGATGCCCTGGTCTACTGGGATGTCTGCAAACTCTCCCCTGCTAGCATAGATGTATCCCTCTGTATTTAATGTACAGTCTAGTCCCCACTACTTATAGCAGTCTGGGTGGGCTCACAGCTATATGCCTGCTAAATGAGGTGAACAGTAAAACTAAGTTAGTACTAGCAGCAAAACTAATCAGAACATCAATTCTGTAGCTGGTATTAGGGGAGACACTGACAAGAACAGCCGAGTCTGCAAAAATAGCCCCTCTTCCATGCTAAACAGGGCCTAGGTAGTATCCTTATCATTGACCTCTACTGGGATGGAAAACGGCTAGTGAGATTTACCCAATATAAATAGCTGCTAATATTAGCAATGGGTGTTTTAAGTGCTGCAGACTGTACTGTGCCAGTCCCAAACTTATCCCTTTAAATATTTGTTTAGCCTGGCAGATAAGGAAGCAATATACTCAGCGCCCCTCATAAGCAACAGTGGGAGGTGGGTCTGTAGCTCTCTGCCAAGCATTTGGACAACTGTTAAGTTGAACACTCACTAACGGAGAGCTGCTTTTGACGCATATTTGGGGAGATTTTTTCCACGTTGTAAAATATTCTGCATGTTTTCCTGTGGCAGCCTAAGGGATGTGGGTAATACTACAGGGAGGGAGACTGCCCAGTGATATCTTATCATTTTCACAGGTGTCATCATGAGAAAAACCTAGAATGGATGGGTTTAGAGCAAGACGGCTGAGACACATATGCCAATTCTATCCCTGGGAGAACGTTATTAGTTTAATCTGGTTTCTGTCTCCACCTTGTAGCTTGGTCAGCAGCCCCTGTCATCACTGCAAAGTCCAGGTGATGAAACTGGTCAGTGCAGTAAGGGTGTTAGGAAGCTAGACAGAATGGCACGGTCTGTCTGTGTCCAGCAGTCCGGGTAAAGATTCCCCTTTGTACTCACACTGCACATGACACTGGGCTGAACCAGAGCCCTTCATCCAAACACTGCCCAATCTGTGGGGGAGCTCGAGCCTTGCAGCACCAATCCATTTCTACCAAAAGCCATGATGAAAAGAGTGGGATGAGCTCCGGCATTAGGAAAGAAGAAAGAAAACTCTTCACAAACCCTAATTTCCCTGCCAAAGGTCCCAAGAGATCAGGTCCTTTTGTGCATGGACTCGGCCAATTAAGCAGAACATGCCTCTAGCACACTGGCATAGCTGCTGGAAGGATCTTGCAAAAGTCAAGCCTCTGTATTAATTCATCAGGTGCAGAGGCAGCCAGAAGGGATGCCCAGTAATCCCCAGATATGGGAGTGGATGCTACGGGATGGCCTGATACCTCAGAGAAGGGTAAGTGCGAAATATTGTGAGTGCATGTGGACAGAATAATTTGACAAGAAACAAACCATGCAGCAGCACAGAGATTTGTAGTCAGCTGCCAGGAACTGGGAACACAGGAAACATGCAAATATGTATTTTAAAAACACACCTGTATTTGGCTTCTTCTTTTTTTTTTTTTGGAGGGTATGTTCCGAGTCTGGTTTGTTTGTTTTTTTAAAAGAAAGCAATAAGGAGCTCAAGTTAAAAGTGTATCCAATAAGGCCACATGATGAGTTTATCAGAGCGTAGGGATCCACCAAGGAGAAGCATTGTGTTATCTCACAGCCAAGGCATTGTGCAGAACCAGGAGGCCAGCTGGGTGTGCTCCACCTTAGAGGTCCATGTCTGTGCTGCCTGACGAAGTCTTGAGCGGAACGGAATCAAACCCATCTGATGTCCTCTGGAAACAGCAGTGGACAGTGACCATCAGTAAGCTTAGTTCAGTGGATCTTACCTGTCCCCATACTTCCGGCCCCCCTAGCCAGGACCCACTCTCCCTTAGCAGTTAGTTGCATCACAGTAACAGACAGAAGAACCCAAACCATGGACCAGGACCCTTTGGCTCTAGGTACCATACAGACACAGAACAAAGCATGGCCCCTACCCCCAGCAGCAAAGGGAATATTTGAATGTGATTTGTAGTCAGTTGCTTCCCATAGCAGGGTAGCTTTTGGGGGAGGGGGGGGGTCTCTTTCTTTTTTTAGCTTCTTGGTCCTTTACCCACTGGATGAAGGGCAGAGTGGTTGTGACTTCTGGGTACTAGTTCAGGATACCTAGGTGGAGAACCCTGGTTAAAACAGAATTTATCTCAGTCTGTATGTGCATAAACCATGAGGCTGTTTTATGATAAAAAGCAACAGGACAGACTTTCATTTTCCTTTCCCTGACCCAAAACAGCTCCAACAGAGGGGTTCAATACCATCTCCATTTTAGGGATGGGGAAACTGAGGCACAGAGAAGGGAACTGACAGTAAGTCAGCTACAGGGCTGGGAGTAATTGAAGGACCACTCAGCTCCTGGCTCTATAATCTTTTATTATTTGCGTTTTGGTAAGGTGTAAAGGCCTCAAGTAAAACTGGGCACTCCTTATACTTGGGCATTTTTTCTACTCAGCCTTACAGTGTTTAGTTTAAATAGGCAAAGGATGAGAGGGGAAAAAGGACTTGCTCAGGGCACACAGCCAGGTCAGACCCAAAGCCCTGATTATTGGACCCTGCTGCCTTCTAATCTTCTTCACAGTGCATCCACAGACAATGCGTTTGATCCTTAGAGCAGGGGCTGAGCAGACACCCTGTACCTTATGTCTTGTGTTATGTGTCTATCTACCTGAAAGCTCCCACCTCTTCTTATTTTATTGAGAGCAGCCCTATAGCCAAAGTCTTGCAAAGCCCGACTGTAGCTCTGCATAACCTAAGGGAAAATAAACATTAATATCTCTGAGCAGTTGCAGCAACAGTCTGAAAGGGGGGCAGCAGGGGCAGGTGGGGAACTGCAGCATCAAATGGGAATTCGGATACACGGGTCCCAAGCCAACCCAGGGTTAGAGGTTCTTGCTACACTGGTCTGTAGCACTTCATGGTGACTAACCAAAAGCAGTTCATGTCAGAGCAGTAAGAATTGTAGTCATTCTGCCTACTGTATGGCAGAGGCAGGTCTGAGGAGGATTAGCACAACTGAAGAAGATAACCAGTGTTATTAGCCCTTCCAGCTCCCACTGCCACATTCTAGCCTGGCAAATTTGCTCTGGTATCGAGCTAATGTCAGGTGCGGTATGCAGGTAAATCTATGTCGGAGGGAGAGGATTCTGCGTGTAACATTACCCCCTGCTGGAGAGATGGAAGAGAATTTTCTCAGCATCTTGGGGATGAAAAAAGACTCCAGTTCTATTTTAAAAATTCAGCAGTAAGTAAGGCTGGAGCTAGGAAGATCTGGGAAAGAGAAAACCCAGGTCTAGCCAAGTTTCAGGATACAGATCCCAGCAGAGCCACATGTCCAGAAGGAGTTTATATTAGCACTATAACCCTTCTGTACAAATGCCGCAACAGCCCAAGGACATTCCCCCAGCTATGCTCGGGTCTGAAGTTCCAAAACCCTTTGTGTGGCTTCTCCTTCCCTCCTGCCCCATTTAGTTGCCTTTGTTCTTTGTATTTCTGGCAAGCTGGTTTGAGCACTGAAGTACAGAGCTAAGTGACCTGCAGCCTTTGTCCTGCAACTCTATGGTCAAAACAGCGATATTTTCCACTCAATAGGAGAATCAGAGCAAGTGGATCCAAACACTAGGTGCCTGATATAAGTAAGCAGCATTGGTTGTAGCCACCAACCAGCTGTTACGGGGAAAGAACAAACTCCTACCTTGGTAGTGAAGGACTTTATCTTGCCAAAGAGAGACTTCTTGCTTGTGAATATTAGATCATCTTCTGCATCTTCTCCCTCCATAATGGCACAACTGTCAGGAGCTGGCAGCTCGCTGTCCTTTGTGGTAGCATTCATCACAAGCTTGGAGTATTTATACTCCAACCTTCAGAGGAAGAAACAACAGCATTTGTGGAGTAAAGCCCTACAAGGCAGGTCCCAGCAAAGCTATGTATACAAAGGATCTCATGCGCTTTATAAGTCTGATTTTCATTCAGTGGGAAATATACGGGGGCAAAATGTGGGGCTACAGACAAGACTTGGCACTCGTCCCATTATGGCAGGTCTGGCAGAGGTATGGCTTCTCTCTGGATGTGGCAGCACTGCCTGGCAGCTCCAGTTGCCCCTACGGCAAGGTTTCAAGGCAGCCTGGCTGGGATGTGCTGCATGTCTTCCCCACAGATCCATGCTGTGGCAGGTAAGCAGCTGCATCAGCTATTTGGGAGCACTGGGAGGCAGCAGCAGAAGCCCAGAAGACTTGACATAGGAGCAGAAGCAAATCAGGGCATGGGAAGTGAGCGAGTGACTGTGCAGACTTCAGTAGAGAAGCTGATTTCTTCAAAAGAGCAACTCTGGCAGGGATTTGTTTCTTGCTTAGTCTGCCTCTGCCAGAGACCCATATCCAGAGGGCTTTCTGTGGCAGGAGTGGTTACTACTCTTTATCAAGCCAAAACATCTGGCCAGGTGGCCTCTCTGGCTACTTCTGTAAATCACTAATAACTACACAGCAAAGGTTACTTCTCTCAATTACTCCAGTGCTGGTAGCTATTCTGTCATTAAGGACTTATCTCCTGAAGTTGGGCCACCTTGTGCAAGGATCCCAGGAGCAATCCCAAACTAAACAACCTCAAAGGAAGCCAGGTGTGAGGGGTCTCCAAAAGAGAGGCAGGAGGTTGGTCGAAAGGGGCACAGAAGGGGGAGTCCATACCAATTCTACTTACATTGCTGTGTCCACAGGCAGTACAACAGAGGCTGGAAGCTACTCACTTTTGGTTTTTCTTCCAGAAGTAACAGGTCATGACAGTCAGCAGCACAGCAGCACAGGTCCCGGCTGAGATGCCAACTTTGAGCCAGAAATCCATGGTTTTGCAGATGCTGACTGTCTGTTCTGGGAGAAGACTGCCTCCTGTGCAAAGCTTTGGCTCCCGCCACACATACGTGGTTCTCTACAGAAGTAAAAGCAGCCAAGTCCTTCCGTTACTCACACAGTATATCTTGACAGCCTATGGGCACAGCTGGGATTTGAAAGCAGTGCTGTAGCACCAATACCTCATTTAAGGATGGTTCCTCCTCTAGGGGTTAGGCAGTGTAGCAATAACCCCATCTGTTCATCTAGCTCTTAGCTCCCTGGCAGTTCTACCTAGGCATTGTCCACTGCTTCCTCAGAGTCATCTGCAACTGTTTAAGAGCTTCACTAGGATGGTTTTTGGCAGAAGCCTTACGCACCCTGAGGCCATGACTGGGCAATGTCTCTGCTTCCTAGGAATTTGGTGGGAATTTCACAAGGTATCGTGGGACCCTGGCCTCTTCTGCAAACCCTCTAGGCCACGGGGGTGACAGGCCAAAATAAGGCAGCTGGATCCAAAGGCAGGCCACCACTTGTGACCCAGTCACTGCCACTGCAACTCCAAGCTGCCTGCCCCAGAACTCCCTGCTCTGTGCCAACAGCTCTCCTACCCCCTACTGCCGCTGCTACCCCTACCCCTCACCCTGGTTCCTATCACCACTGACTGCAGCCAGAGACGCATTCGGTGATGACAGGACTGAGGACAGTGTGCACAAGGGAGGGCAGGGATGGCAGCAGACAGCACTGCAGAAAGACTATTCAGGGGCAGAGGAACACTACTGCACCTTTCTCCCTAGCTGCAGAATTACTACCAATGTCCTGGCTCTGCCAGCTGGATGCAAAATTGCTTGACAGGCTGGATCTGGCCAGTGACCCATCAGTGGCCAACCATTCCTGCCATTCCAGGCTCCCAGAAGACCTGCTGGGATCTCCCACAAGCTGCTGCTTTAGGGAACTGTGGAACAGCTACCCCAAGGATGTGTGACCATCATGCAAGTATGGATACAAGGTACCTGAAACAGCATGGTGAGTATGGACACCTTGGCTTTGTTAAAGCTTATATTGGTGCTATCCCATCAGCTCAAATGAATAGCCACTCACTTCCACACTCATTTTTAGGTCATGGTCTTAGAGGACAAAGCTCCATGGCTTTGAGTGCCTACCTGAATCCCACCAACACAGGCACTAACGATGGCACGGTAATCGTAGGCTGAGCAGAGTGGGCAGGCTTCAGCAGTCTCCCACAGAAAATGGAAGGTACATCCATCACAGGTTCCATCAGGGCACTTCCTGTCAGGGGAAAGGAGGAGGATTACCCTTAGCACTCAGCCAGCACATCACACATGGATTAACTTACAGGAAAGGGCAGCCTGGTGGGTCTCTAGGCTAATTATGACGCTGAAATCAGACAGTGCAGCAGTAGAGCTTCAGCAAAATGAGAGGTGCTCCACACTCCTGAATTAAAAAACCCAAACTTCTGGGCCTCGCTCACTCTGGCCACCCGAACTCAGTAGTTGCTTATGATAATGAACCTATTTCTGGGTAATGCAGGATCCCATATTATTCCCACAAGGGCAGGCTTGGAGAGGAACCGCAAGCTTGCTCCACCCCTCTTCGTGCCTAGTAAGGGAAAGTGCATGATATTCAGCAACTGGGCTTACAACATTGCATTTATTTATCATGGAACAGAGCACACTACTGCAGATATGGATGATGCCAGAGGAGAAGGGAGAGAGACGGGGACAGTGGGTGGATGAGAACAGGATGGGATTCAACACTGACAAGTGCAAGGTGCTGCACGTGGGGAGGAAGAGCCAGCACCATACCTACAGGCTGGGGAACTCCCTTCTCGTCAGTCCAGAGGCAGAAAAGGATCTTGAAGTCATTATTGCTTCCAAAATGAATATGGGCCGGCAGTGTGGGGATGCAGTCAGGAAGGCCAACCGCACCTTGTCATGCATCCACAGATGCATCTCGAGCAGGTCCAAGGAGGTGATCCTCCCTGTCTGGTCAGGCCGCAGTTGGAGTACTGCATCCAGTTCTGGGCGCCGCACTTCAGGAGGGATGTTGACAACACGGAGAGGGTCCAGAGGAGGGCCACTCGCATGATCGGGGGGCAGCAGGGCAGGCCCTATGCAGAGAGGCTATGGGACCTGAACCTGTTCAGCCTCCACAAGAGAAGGCTGAGGGGGGATCTAGTGGCCTGTTATAAACTAGTCAGAGGGGACCAGCAGGCATTGGGGGAGCCCCTGTTCCCCTGAGCACTGCCAGGAGTGACCAGGAATAATGGTCACAAGCTGGCAGAGGGTAGATTCAGACTAGATATCAGGAGGCACTACTTCACGGTCAGGGCGGCTAGGATCTGAAACCAACTTCCAAGAGAAGTGGTGCTGGCTCCCACCCTGCGGGTCTTTAAGAGGAGGCGGGATGAACAGTTGGCCGGGGTCGTTTGACCCCAGTACTCTTTCCTGCCCAGGGCAGGGGGTCGGACTTGATGATCTGCTCAGGCCCCTTCCGACCCTACCTACTATGAAACTAGGATGAGACCAGAGACGGGTGGCAGCATGCGGCAAGCCTCCAAGGAAACCAGGGAGGTGCACAGGCCCCAGACTGCTTCTAGCAGAATCCCCAGCAGCTTTGTGAGGCCTTCAGGACAAGGGCCAGTGTGTGTACAAGCAAAAGCCAGCTGGCTTGTGTCGTCTCATCTTCATCCACACTCCCAGCTTAAAAAGCTCCTGTGGGTTGAGTGAAGCCGCAAGTCAGCTGCTGTGCAAAGGCCACAGGCCTAGCGAGACAAGGAACTGCTTCTCCCTCCTTTCTGAGGAAGCAGTTATCCTGGTGCTACATGCGGGGAAACCTCTCCAGGTCCTTTTACTTCCATTTATCCAGCCCAAACCATCCTGGGATCAAAGTGTCATTCTCCATCAGCAAAACCATGCGACAGAGAAGGCTAAACCTGGCCTGAAACGCATCTATTCTATGGCCTGTTTGATGCTCTTAGCATGGAGAGAAAGGAAGTAACTATGGTCCACAGCATATGGTCCACTCCTTTAGCCAAGCTGTTCAACGCCATCACCAAGGATGGCACATGTGGTTTCAGGTGGCCATTGGCCAAAATTTTAACCAGCTCAGGGTGGGCATACATGCAATATGGTGGTTAATACACTGGCTCCTGTGTATACTATGGCTCCCACTCCCATTTGTGGCATCAGTCCTTGTGACTTTCAGAAAGTCCATGCTCTCAGAATCAAGGCAACTTGCAATACGCTCCATCGCATGCCAGGAGGCCATGGCCTTCCATTAGCTGGCAAGGCGCCAATACCACCCTGACATTGGCAACCTGAGGGCACCTGGCCTACCAAGAGGCCTGATGAGAACAACTGCATCTGGAGGGAGAGGCAGCCCTTCCAGCATGCTGCTTTATCTGCAGCATTCAGAAAAAAGGATGATTATTCCTACCTTGGCATGGAGAGTGTTCCTGAGCCGGTCTTCAGAGGGTTGCAGCGCATGCGGATGGCAGTGGCCCTTCCAGAATTGCATGACTGAGTCACATCATTGGATCTGCCCATTCAGGAAACAAACAGAGCCTTTGGTACCATCCTACTATCCAGCATGTCCCACCTGTACGTACCAACACACCTGACTAGCAGAAACGTCCTTGTCCTATGATTGTATCTGGTTCATAAGCTGCATAGGATGTGGAGGGGTCATCCTTGTTTCCCACCTTCCACCCTCCCTCTGGGTACTGTCAAAGCCAGTGTGTGAATGCGACTGTGGTTCCCTTGCCCCTGGGACCAATGGTGGGTTGGGGAAGTTACTTTCTTACATGCTTCTTCAGGGCTTGGAAAAGCTCCAGACTGGGGAGCTGGAGAGACACTGTGGGCAATATTGAGTGCCATGTGTGGGATGTGTGTGCATCTCACTGTGCCTGACCTCCATCTAGCGTGGCTGCCCCATTACCTGTAGAAGAATATCACTTCAGGCACCCCAGCATTCTCAGTAGGGAAGTAGTCAGGAGGGGAGGTGATGTGGTCCAGGGTCGTCTCAGTTGTCACTCCTGAAATGACATTCATCCCAATAAGAAAGCAGCACAGAGGGCAGCTACTGCTCTGCTCCCAAATGCACTTGGTTACAGGCTGTCCAGAAAGCAGCTCCCAACAACTCCAGAGAGGTGTAGATGGCAAGCAGAAAGCTGATATTTCATCTTGCCTCCCCTGTGCGCTCCCCTAAATTTGAACTTCTGCATGATCACCAGGAACAGATGCTGTGCAGTTTAAACTTTACCTATGGTTAAATTAAACCTTTGCTAGTGCAACTGGTAGCTCAGGGATTACTGGTCAGTGCTACAGTTTGCACCTAGTTAAGATTTCTAACGCTCCAGCACTAGTAGAAATAGGCTCTAGCACCCTCTCCCATAACTGGGATGGCCCTGTAGGCTACTGGGAGTAGATTGCTAAGCTGGTTTCTTGAGGCTATTGGAAATGAATAATATAACCAGCTGTTTAGTCACCGATGTCAGCAACCGACAACAATGCACACGGGGAGTTGGTTTATGGAAATTTGTTCACTCCATTCCAAGGCCTGAACCTCATTCTGATGGACAAAGAAGAGTTAATTATGGATCTAATCATTAGTGGTTGCTTAGACACCGATGACAGTACATTTGCTTTGTGCAAATAGAAGAGGGCACTGACTAATACGGTGTTTACATGGACTTTTAAAAGGGAAAGCTCCCCAAAAGTTAAAGCAACTGTCACCATAACTATATCGGGTATGTTACTTAAGAGTGGGAACTGCGAGTGAAAACGAGGAATTACTCAAAGATAATCATACCAGCCTCCCAACAAAGCCATGATCTCACAGAAATGAAAATTGGTTAGGCTGGACAAAAAAACCCCATCCTGATTAAAAGGAAATGTAAAAAGAGGCAGTACCACTTCAAATATCAATATCTAAATAAATGGAAAAAAGAAGAAATAAATGACAATGAACACACGGAAGAAGTTAAAAGGGTAAACAACTCAAAAAACAAAGTGAATGGAAGCAAAATATCCATAGTCAATAGGAATAACAATATTTTAAACTTATTAGAAACAAAAAGGCCCTTAAGTCAGGCATTTCTCCATTTTTGGATACATATGATAAATTTATCAGCTGCCTTTTTATATTGCTGAAATGGCCAATAGCTATTTCTGTTCTGTATCTAGAACAAGCAGGAGGATATACTTATCCTAAATGGTGCTGTAGAAAGTTTACCTCCTGTAACAATGGAAATGTGAGGAAACACCTGCTAAGGTAAAATATTTTCAAATCACCAGGTACGAGTAAAATAAAACTAAACAAAGAGCCTTAAAGCGGACCTGCTAATATTAGTTCATCCAGCAAATCTTTTCAAACTGGGCAGTCCTCCTTTGAAAAATATTTGGAATTTCCCTACCTAATTCCAATATTTAAAGAGAAAAAATGATACGAGCCTGGAAACTACAGACAGATTTGTCTGATATCAGTCCCAGACAAAATATTACAATGGTTCACTAGGGTCTTATCACCAAAAAAAGATTAGAGCTTAACAAGTTCATTAATGCCGGTCACATGGTTTCAGGGAAGTAATTTTTGTCAAGCTCATCATTTATTGACAAAATGACTAATCTTGTCGATAAAGGCAATTGTGCCGATATAGTATGCTCGCATTCACAAAGGCATTTGAACTGACTGCATGTGACACTTTGATTTAAAAAAACAACAACTTTGCTTTGCATGGACACATATTTGATGGGTTAAAAAAAAAATCAGCTCACTGACTGATCTCCAAATGTTGCTATTAATGGGAAGACACCAGTGAGCAGGACCATTTTTAGTGGAATAAAGTCTTGTATCCGTCTTGGGAAGTAGTGACTCAAAAGAAGGACTTGGGGGTTGTGGTGGATAATCACACTGTAACTAAAATGAGTGATGCAATCATTGGATATATAAAAGGGGAACATCAAGTAGACTTATAAAAATGATCTTGCTTTTGGGCACAGCCTGAGCAAGATAATGACTCATGCAACATGTCTGTCCAGTGCTGGTGTCCACAGGTGGAGACGGTCATGGAAACACTGGAAGAGCTTCAAAGGGGATCACAGAAGCAAGCCAGGAGCTGGAAACCATGCCTTATCACAGACCTGTCCAACGCCTGAGTGGCCAGGGGCTGCAGTGATAGGGCACTGGCAGTTTCCTCATCTCCCCCACTCTTACTAATGACACATGATAGGGTATTCTCGGTGTATCTGGTTTTGTGACTGGTAGCTGTGTGCGAGTGCTTGAAGTAGAGATTTGGGGATTCCTTGAAAATCGTTTGTAAATGCAGACAACTTGATTCAAGGGCCCATCCAGCCCTATGTTCCTGCTGAAGGAGTTTCCTTGCCTTCATAAAACAGTAAGGGAGCCCTTGCAAACTGGGTCTGTATGGTCCACATGTGCAGCCACTGTTCCAGCTGTTCAGAGAGAGTAGTGTCCACACCACTCTGTGGGCTACAGCAGTAACCTACCCTGTGGGCCTCTACGTAGACTGATACAGCTATGGGCTGAAATGCCTAGTCCCTGCGTAGGAGAGGCTCTTTGCCCCCTCTGTCATGGTCATGCAGTAGTGTAGGACTGAACACTTCCCTGACTGCACGGCAAGAAGATATTCCTTGTCTTTATGCCCAAAATATGCACCCCACTACCAACACAAACAGAAGTGACCAGCATGAGGCAAAGGCTACAGTGACAAACAGGGTGCAAAGGACTCTGTCCTCCCTTGCCTCATACTGAGTAAAGTGACTGACCTACCTGCCAAGTGAGTTCAAGACTTTCCTGTTCCACACCAGCACGGCTTACACCCACTCTGCCCAGAAGCCAGTGGCTCAATGTACAGGCTAGCATAGGATCAGGCTTGTAAAAAAGAAACACCCACCACCCTGACCCTCATGTCAGGCAGCACTTACCAACAAAGCGGTCAGCCAGGCTCACAGGCTGGGAGGACACCACTGTTTTATAGCCCATGACGTCAGAGGGCACAACGACGGACTGGCAGGCGTAGGAGGTGACAGATTTAGAAAACTCTACCTCCCCGTCTGGGACCCGGATGTCGGTGACGTTGTCTGTGCAGGAAGCCATCTTCCTTCCCTTGGGTGGAGGAGCAGAGCACAGTGAGTGCCAGGACCAAGTCCATCAAGTCTGCCTTGTGTAGGAAGGGATCAAGGGAATTCTAACACCCAAAAACAGCAGCGGGGGCTGGCCTGAGCAGTGCACAGAGCTCCAAGCAAGCTTCTCCACATACCATATTTTCTCACATATAAGACTCCCTAGAATATAATACACACCTTGTTTTTGAAAGGCAGAATTAATTAAAGAGATCTTTCCTTGTGGTAAGTAACTGAGTAGGAGCAGCTAGGGAGCAGAGCCTGCTCATTGCTCCACTCCCTGAACAATAAGCAGATTTTACTTTCACTTTTGCCTGTAACCAGCAGAAACTGTTCTTACCATGTTTCTGGCATGAAATGTGCACTGAAGTTCCCAACAGCTGGGTTTGGGGAAAAGGTACCTGTTGTATGCATGAAAATATGGTAGCATTTGCAGTTTACAGATGCAACATGCCCTTCAAAAATACAGGTTTCCCTCACTTTCTGCTGTACATGCGTTCCTGGAAAATGGCGCATACCTCAAATTTGCATAAAGGGAACCCACTTTGCAACGTAACAAATAGGGATACGGTCTAAGACCTCAGCTGTACTGACCCCCAGACCCATTTCTACCATTTTCACAAGACAATTTTGGCACTCACCAACAGCAAACAGTACACACAAGCACCGGGCATTATCATAATGGGGATGGCAACTACAGAAACACGTGTTGCAGACGAGCGAGGAGCACAGATCCACACAGGAAACCAGATTTTGGTGTGCATCACACCCACAATGCACTGCACAAAGCAGCTGACTGCAGGCTTCCACCACACCAATCACATAAGAGTGAATTTACCTCGCATATAACGAATTTTTGGTGTAAAAAGGGTCATCGCATGAGCGAATTTGCACATACAGAACCCACATAAAGCGAGAGAAACCTGTATCTGTTCTTCAGAATAAGTAGGGTGCTGTCTACACAGCAAATGGTCTGTGCCAGGTGGCACTGGCTTCAAACACTTGTGCTGCTTAGTGCAGTCTGCCCCCTTAACTGCAAGCAGTTTAGTGGTGTCTGGGCAGCACTTCAGGCAGACTAAGTAGCACTGCTAGGCTCAGGGCCAATTAACTCACCCCTGTGCTAATAATTAGCCCACCGGCACCACTGTGGACTCAGCTATTCAGCTGCAGCTTAAGAGATGGCCTTCAGGAGCAGTGCAGTGTGCCTGAGGGTGGTACAATCGGGCACAGTAAGCTTACAATGCAGGCATGACCTGTAAGCGTCAAATGACATGTTTAAGTACAGCACCTGCAGATAGGAGCTTGCTTGTTAGCCAGCCCCTGCCAGTCATAACTACTGACCTTGCTGATATTCCCATTTTTGCTGGCAGTGCTAATAAGTCAAGCAGCCAGACTGAGTGCTAGCATTTAAGTCACAACCTTCACCCTCTCAGACTGGGGAGGAATCAGCAGAAGAAAGAAAATCCTCAATCTTGCAGGTATGCACTTACGTGGTTCCCGCAAAGGCTGATGTTGAAGTGATGGAAATATTTCAGTCCCTTAGAAGTGAAGCTTGGCCCACTAGTGAAGGATGTGCTGTTGGCTAGGGTTGAGAAGTCATACTCCAGAGTCCTACCATCCTTGGCCAATGAGAAGTGACAGTCATTATAGCACATGGAGTGTATCTGAGGAAGAGGAACATTAGGCAGTCAGTTACCATGATCATGCTGGAGCATGATGAACAGCGACATGGAGCATGTTGGGATGCTGAGAAGACAAAAGTGCTCCTCCACCACTAACTGTTGTAGCACTAACATGCAACAATTCAGACATTACACGTGGTACTACAAAACGTACCGCTACAGCAGCTATTACCAAAAGGGCATGGCGCAAGACCACCAGAAATGTGCTGCGAAAAGTTGGCTAGGTGGGGCCCAACCATGCCAGCCCCAGGAGGAGGGATCAGGCTCACAGACTGAATCTGGTCTACAGATTGACCTGGAACTTCTCATCTAGCCCACTGGGCCAAAAGATTACATTTTATTTTCATCAATCCTTGTGTTTTGAGTGTGCATGCATGTGCGTACACACACACACACACACTAAGTCAACCTCTCTCGCACCCTCCCCCCGCCACACACACACACTTTTTGGGCCTAAGAACGAAACATGCTACCAATTTAAGTCCAAAAAAGAAGTTGAGGAAACACTGCACTACAGAGAAGTTCTTGTTTCATCCAAGTACCTTTCTTGAGTGCTTGCACCATTTTGTATAGCATTACAGGCAGGGTGCAGGTCCGAAACCCACATTTTGTAGTACTATAAGGCTGTATATAGCACTACAAATACTATGCTTAAACACAGCCCAAGTTGCTGGATTTACATCAGTGCGATTCATAGCAAAATTTGACCAGGCATCTGTAGTAAGCGCCGGGCAATCTTAACAGGCACCAGCATTGCCTGAATGACAAGTGTAGGCCAGGTCTTGGAGAGACTCGACACGATGATAGTAGGCTGTGCAGACCCTACTGTTAGATATTCTAGTAGCCAGAGAGAACCTCAAAGTTCATCTGTAGCCAGTAGCCTCAATATATATATTCAGAGAATATTCATTACAGGCCCAGGCTTGTTTTCTCTCTACTGCAAGAAACTCTCCCCTTAAATCACATGCGTCAGACTGATTCTAGATGGAAGAAAGAGGGTTTTTTTTAAATTTACAATCACATTTAAAGAACAGATCAAAACCAAACCAAACAAGCAACCCTTAAGCACAGCAGGAAAGAAAAAAACTATCTAGTTCCAAGACCCTACAATATAGCTGTTGAGGTCTGCAAAGTGTCGATCACTGGCTGGTCTACTTGTGTCTACTCTGGACAAGAAGTGGGACTTGCTGTCCATCACACACAGTGCTAGGACCTGATCCCACAATCACATCCCTGAGGGTTGGGGAGAATCTTAAAGTCAGCGGATGAGAAGGGGAGATTAGCCACAGACCATGCTTCAGGATCAGGATCCTTCATCTTTGCATGTGCATACAGCATCTAGCACTGCAGGCCCTATCACATTGCTACCGACTACTAGGAAGGGTAATGACACCTTATTGCTAACTGTGCCTGGGCCACAGGGGATGCAGGCCTGATGGCCGTAGGGCTGGTGAGCTTTCAGGTAAGTGTTTGGTGCACAGGGGTGGCAGGCACCAGACGTTCGGTCGATGTAGTTCCCAGGTGGGCAGGAGGTGCAGGAAGATCCTGATGACTCCAGGGCACAACGCCGGCAGTAGGAGGCCACACCATCCATAACGTTAGTCACGTTGATTGAGTACAGCTTGGCGATGTCATTTGTGTACTTCCTCCCCTGGAACAAAGACATTCCCATCAACTCAGCATGGATTTATTAGGGGGAGATCATGTCAGACCAACCTGATTGCCTTCTACGATCAGGTCACAAAGGCCATGGATGCAGGTGTCGCCGTGGATGTAGTCTTTCTGGACTTCAGCAAGGCCTTTGACACCGTCTCTCACCCCATCCTAGTTAAAAAACTAGGTGACTGTGGCATCGATGCCTACACAGTCAGATGGATTGCAGATTGGCTGAGGGGTCGCACTCAGAG